CTGCTTTATTGCCCGCCACACGGGCGCGAGCTTCACGAGGTACTGGCAGTTTTCGAGGAAGCCGCTGCACGAGCGCCTGCTGTACCCCGTCGGGTATTGGCACCCCGCGGCGCAGCAGCGGATGTACGGCGGCATGCTGACGAACATGAGGGGCAGCCACGTGTACTGGTGCGTGTTCCAGCTGTTGGTGCTGTGTGTGGTGTGCCTGATTGCGGCTGTGCACCCGCCCGTGGGAGACTGCCACGTCCAGTACTTCTGCATGGCGGCTGTGCTGCTTGCGGGTGCGGGCGTGGTTGCCTTCACTAAAATGATGCGCTCGGTCTTCCTGACGGTGATGCAGACGGCGGGCTTTGTGCTGCTTGGGGTGCTGTGTCTGGTGAGCGCGGCCAACCACATTGCGCCGAGCGACGGCGGTGCGAGGGCGTACGCGGCGATCGCGCTGCTGCTGACCACTGTGGTGTTTGCGGTCACTGTGTACGGCGTCGTTGTGTGGTATGCGGAGGACCGCCACTGGCAGGAGCTGCGCGAGCCGCGGCGTGGTGTGCTGGAGGCGCTGCTGCGCGATGACGAGCATGGCGACGAAGAGACGCAGAATCCCCATGACACGACGTCATCGTCGTACGCCTCAGGCACCACCGTTGCGTCGTCGTACCGACCACCTGCGGTGTTGTTGCAGCCCATGGCCGGTGACACCCGCTCAGACGCCTTGAGCCTGCTCGACCGCGCATCCAATGCAGGATGCAAGGTTGATTGTTTCACGCCGGAGAAGTACTGAATTTGTGCTGCTCAAGAAAGTTGGCGCAGTTTCTTCTCGAGTTGGAAGGTGTCTGCCCAAACAGTACCTCCACGTGGCGAGAAGGTAAGAAGATCCTCACGGATGCGGTATAACGTAGACGCTTTTGGCAATATATATATATTTATCATTATTACTTATAGAATGCTTGGTTGGTTGAGTTGTTTTTACTCTATCGATTTTGGCAACAACGGATTATCGAGGTATCGCGCTAGCCCGGGGCGTCTGTGTCACGGGTGTGTGTTGCACGCTTTCTCCGGGGCCGGGGTTCTTATTCCGATTTTTACTCAGTAATGAGGGCGTGTTCTGCGATGGCGGCTGCTTTGCGGGTCATCGAATTTGAAAAAAAAATTAGGGATAAAAAACCGAAGACTTTCCTTTGTGGCTTTCACTAAATGAAATTAGGACGTGTGCGTTGCTTGTCGATGAGGGAGGGCGTGGGGCTGCTGCTGCTGCGCACCACAGTCACCCATCGGTCTCTGCAACCGCGTTGTTGCTGTTTTCTTGTGCATTGTTTCTATTCTTGTGCGGGTGCCTGCAGTGACTCTCCCCTGTCCCACGATGACTGTGTGGGAGGGCATGCCTGTCGCTTTTTGTACTTCTGATGTTGTGTAGAACAAACAACAAGTGAAGGAACGAAGAATTGTGCGGAATGGTGTATTACTTTGTGTATGTATATATATACCGATGTATTTCTGTGGATTGTTTCATTATTTCTTCCCTCTCTCCTTTTCTTTTTTACGTTGCTCCACACGTGTCTCAGTGTTCGCCTCATTACGGCCTCACACGGGTAGTTTGAGTCGCAGATGTTTTTTCTTTTTGATGTTATTTCCTGTGAGACGCTAATGCGGCCACGTTCGTCAAGCGTCCACTCTCCACAGCATGGTGCCTGATATTTGCAGTCATCCCGGACGTAACGCAGGCACCACCGCCGTTGCACTCATGGGGAGTAGGATGGAACGCAGGACAGAGGAGGATATTGTGCTGCACATGTGTCTGTTGCATTTGTTCTGTTGAGGAGGTTTCACTCAAAAGAAGAGGGATAAACACCGCACGGATCCGTGGATTGGAGGAGTTATTACCTTTTATTATTTTCTTTGTATGATCTCTGCTTTCCGCCCGTGTCTGCCCCGATTGTGCTTCCCCTGAGTGGAGCTGTGCCATGGCCATCGTTTTTGATGTTTGCAGGAGGAAAAACGCATTGCGGGTAACGAAACCACACGTCATGTATGCGGCGTCCAGGGAGGTACGTATTTGAGGTGGAGTGCACATATGTGGGTGTCGTGTGGGAAGGAACGGGGGTTGACTGCCCAACCGTCGCTCCTTTTCTGGAGAGTGTGCTCTTCCTTTTTCCGTTGCCCCTTTTGTGCCAGGGCATGGAGGGATTGGGCAGCACCGTCCCACGAAGGGTCTTGCACACGTACACACTCTCACGCCACTGTTGCCCAGAAGTGGGGTGCAAATCGAAATTCAGCTGTTTTTTTTTTGCGTTGGTGCAATTACTTGTTTATTTATTATTAACTGACAACATTCTGTCCGGCGTGTCACTTCGATTGGACTGTGTGGGATTGCTCTCTAAAGCCATCGAACAAAACAGGCTGACGACTTTTTTCTGCTATTACCAGTCGTAGTAACTACACCTCAATTGTGCAGCTCTGGTGAGCGTACGATGGAATACAGCAGCAAGGATAACCTTACCCTGCGGGAAGCCATTACAAATGGCTGCATCATGTGCCCTTCCGCTCCGTAAAACTAAGTAACAAGTACTTATCGGGTTTGAAGCATGGACAGCAGGCACTTATCTTCCTCTCTAGTAAGAGTACTAGACCCTGGCACCACGTTGAGGCGGCCGGCTGAGCCAGAGGGCTGATGATTTTGTGTGATTAAATGCCGTCTTGTGCGCACGTGTTTTTTACCTGTTCTGTTGATGTGCACTCAAGCGGCGAGGGATCCGGAACCATGCGTGCGTGTAGTTTGTCCTGCCATGTGAACCGCGGGCAGCACCGAGGGGCTGTCACTTTTACTCCGCAGAGTTGTTGTGTCTCTTTGCAGGGTTGGCAGGGAAATTGCATGCGGCCTGCTATTGCTGGTGTGTTCAAATGCCACTCCATGCGAGGACTGTGCTTCATCGAGTGAGGGTGTTTACTGGGTTTGTGCGCACTCTGATTCTGTTTGCTTCTTTTTGCGGGCACGCAAGACCTGAGGGTGGGAAAATGGAGCGGGGCGATGCCTGGCCGCGTCTCGCCCATCGTTCAGTGCACGATTTTGCGGTGCACATTGTGGTGCTTCCTCTGCGATGTGACAGCGGTCTCCTGTGCGGCGATGGCGGTGGGTAGGGGAGAGCGTTGGCCCGCGGCGGGACGGTGAGATCGTGCCTTCGTTTTTCCCACCCCTCCTTCTGTGAAGGCGTGCACTTATTTTTATTGTCAGGGATAGGGCAAACAGAGAGGCCACTTGAGTAAATAAAAATTGCGATAATGTGGCGGTGTTGTTGCCGATTGCACGTTGCGTTGCTGCGGGGGCTGTGGGCCTCGACCGCTTCGCCGACATGCGTTGCAGTGCGGCTGCGTGGCGCACCGACCACTCCGCCGTGCGAGTGCCGCGCGCAACGCCACTGGGACTGCGGGGCGGAACAGCCGCGACTGTTCTTTGGAGCCAGCGGCACCTGTTGGCCGCAGTTGGGCGGTGCGAGTGGGATGCTTCGCCGCACGGGTGTTGTGGTGGCGCCTCGCGGCGGCTTCGGTGATGGTTCCGACGCTGCAGCTCGACATGTGGCGGGGAGTAAAGGGCGACCGCAGCTGACTGTTGACGGTCGGGTGGGAGATGTACTGCTAGACGGATACACTCCCAGCACCAAAATGAGGCTCAATGATTTCCTTTGGAGTTATGTTGGCTCCAT